CGGGGCTAACCATGTAAGATCCGCTAAAACCTATATTTGAGGAGGTAAAGTGTGTTTTCGAAGAAAAAAAAGGCTAACTAGCATATCCTCTAAAACTAACTTTCCTCAAAATTGTAAGTTTTGGCCCCTGAAACCATCCCCACTTGACTATATTTGGTACAATCAACAACACTGGGGTAAAAGTAGGAAGGCGATCACGCAGGACCCCATGCACGCCGTCGTCGTCCATCTTATCGTCGGTTGCCCCCAGGCCACCCCACCGCCGATGGCAACTTCCCTAAGCCACGCTACAACCTTGACAACCTCTCCCCCATCTTCTTCTCCGTCGTCGGTGCCAGATTTGCTGGGATTTGCCAGCGTCATCGTCATTGTCAAAAAGGCAATTAGCCACCGACGAGCTCCAATGTGACCGAAAATGGAGGCACATGACGATGGGAAAGCAGATATTGCCTACACGCGAGCTTGCGCTGGTCGATGGCGCCTAAATGGTCGTTCCTGACGGCTGCCGTTGCCATCCTCCTCTACGCTCCCATTTGGCTCGGCTTTGAGCTCGCTGCCTGCACGCGGTCGAGTCATCACGATGGAGTAGCGGCCCCGTTGGATCCGTCTGCAAAGTAAACATCACCGACGATGCCCCAATTCCAGCGCCGATGGTACTTTACCGCTACAAGTATCCGGTTGTTCAAAAAACTTGGAACATGCTGAGAAATCCCAAACAAGACTACTTTGTTTGTGGTGGCCAAGAAAGCAATGTATGTATGATATTAATGTCTAGAAGTTGTCGAATTATGCCATCATTAGTTAAAATATCCGTTTGAAATGAAATTGTGTTAAAATGTGTTTTAAATCTTTTTAGGGACTAAAAATTATAAGGGATCCGCTAGTTGTAAAATAGTGATTTCTTTGATTTTTTTAAAGAGTGGGATAAGAAGCTATTTTGCCGGTTTTAGTATAAGAGATCTGCTACATGTGCTCTTAGTCTTAGGAGATACTAGCAAATATGTCCGTGCGTTGCAACGAGAGAAAAACAATAAGATTATGCAGATTATGTCAGGATGAGATAAGGACTTTTCAAGTGTCATCTCATAAACTACACCTGAATCATGTAGAGATAAGGGGCTTTTAAAAAGTCATTTTAGAAAGTACTAGCAAGATCCGTGCATTGCACGAAACATCAAGATTTTTTTTATAAAACACTTGTTGTGATTGACCCTTGCGGGAGTAATCCCATCTGTAAAAACTAATGATATCTCGAGAAATATGAGATAAGGTGAAGAGGAGTGGGGTGTGGTGGTGGTTGGTGGTCGAACTGAGCGGAGGCATGGGGATTGACGACGCCGGCAGCGGCCACCAGGCCAGTTTGTTCCAGAGGCTTCCTTTCTTAATTGCTCAACAATGAGGTTTGTTGGAGATAAGGATGAACGAGGGAAGGCCTTGTCTGCAAATGTGGAGAGGGGTGTGGGTATCTTTTAGTTTAATTTCCATCCGTCAGATATAGATCGGACGGTCTATATTGCAAGATGGCACACGTACCATCATCACCAACTCGGTTTTTTATAAGAGAAAAAAAAAGTGATGATCTCATCACTGACTTGATTTTCTAAGGCGCCACAACAAAATATTTTATGGCTGAGCAAACTACATTAATGGACCCTACCTGTGCTAGACTGATATGTGTCTCGCCTTGACCTAGCGTCACGGTGTATTTCATATCAGAACAAGCATAGCTACGTATGAAGGCAAATTAAACATTTAGTCATTTTCATATAGCTTACAAAAACTAACCCATAGAAAGTTGCGTGAATGTTTGGGGGGCTGGGCGTTGTATAGAACACGGGAATGTTTTTTTACCCGACGCATAATGGACTAAATAAAATTAAAAAACGACCTCTACAGATCCTCTAAAGGAACCTCTATGTAAGCCATGGTTCATTTTGTTTGTTATTTACGGATATGTTTCAATGGATCTGTTTGAATTTTGTGAACATTTCTAAAATTGCATGGACATCCTTTTCAAATTCCCTAATATGATTTGAATTAAAGATCATTTTTTAAAAGTCATGAACATTTCTATTTCGCGAGCATTGTTTTTTAAATCATGATTTTTTTAAATAATATGCAAATAGTTTTCTAAAATCACGAACATTTTATGGTTCCCCGATCATTTCTTGGATCGACAAACATTTTATGATTTGGTGATTTTATTCCAAAACTCACAAATTTTTAAAATTTCGAATTTTTGGAAACCCCGAATTAATTTAGAGAAGGAAAAATAAAAACAGAAATAAGAAAAGAAAAAGCAAAAAAAGCAAAATGAAAAAACAGGGCGTCACGCGCACATGGGCCGGCCCATGAACGCGTGCGGTGAGGAGGAGTGCTTGCTACGAGAGAAGTTACTCAAAAAAATGCTACTAATAAGAGAGAAAAGGAGAGAGAAAATTTGCACATGAGGACATGGGATCGGACCGGGTCTTGTGGATGGAAGGTTGAGTCCTTAACCATTGCGGCAAACACGAGGACATCACCGTATAACGGCGATTTTTTAAAAAATGAATCGTTTTTTTCATTTACAAGTGATATAGTGGGTAATTTATGGCAACTTCCGGGGCAATTTTTAGACGGACGGCAAAAAGCACTAATGACTTTATTACTAGATATAGATATCGAAAATGTAAGTGAATACTTAAAACGACTAGTAAATATATTATTTGCACATGGATATTCGGTAGGATATTACTTACGTGTTAATTAAGTGATTATCACCGATATATGCTATTACTTGCACGCTAAACATGTTGAGTACTCGCCCGTTGGAGCAATACAAGGCCATTGGATTGACTAGTTCGATGATCGAGATTAGTTGAATCTGCCGCTTTGAATTCTTCTTTATATTGGTGTGTGTGTGTATATATATATATCACCCAGGATGTAGAATAAGTTATTCTTCACCCGAGGTAATCTTACGATTATTTCGTAATTAAATTACATTTGCAATTTAAATATTTACATCCCTATAGATTCATTATGTAAAATTTGACATAAGAAAATAAAAATATAGGTCATAAGATAAGAAAATTTGCACTTTATGTGTATTTTACACTATGTTTTTACATTTGTAATTTTACATAACATAAAATATTTTTTACAACGATTATATATTTTCTTACGGTCTCTTTTTACGTCGGAAATAAGATAAAACTTACGGAACGTAAAAATACGGGGCATTTATGGTAAAATAGAGGAGGGGGGTGAAGAATAACTCTTCCTCACCCAGGGTGACGAATAGCGCGACCCTCGCGCTATTCGTCACCCTGGGTGAGGAATTCTTATTCCTCACCTCAGTCCATCTCCCACGACCACTACATGAAAAGGTAAGAAGCGAAAGCACTTGAGGTAGGATTACAGGTCGAAGAAAGAATCAGCTTCCATTCCGTAAAAAAAGAGGGAGGTAAACTTACGACATGCAAGTCACCTTTTTAGGTCGTTCATGGTTGCAACTAATTTGGCGGATCAAAATGACTATAAAAAACAAATGATGCTGTTGTAATATTACGGAATGAGCAGTAGAGGCGTTCCTGACTTTTTTATCCATAGGATGTGTGCGTATATTGTACGTATCTTTGGCTAATTACATCTAGTCTCTAGCAAAATTGAAAGGCCTGCATACTTTGGATTGTTCTACAAACTGCAAGACTATTACAAAGGGAAAACAACCGTGACAAATTGATTTAGTATTACAATCGGAAAAAGGTAAAATTAGATAAAGTCTTCGAAATTTCATTTCTTTGCTCAAAAAACAGTCTGAACACTTTACAAAAGATATGCAACTGGAAAATGTCTGTTATGAAACTAATAGCCTCATGGATGAGACGACATGCCACCTCCTTCCATTGCCATAATTGGCAGGCTCACTTAGTTGACATCAGAAACTACACGTTTCCTGACTCCATTGTGAGTAGTTGGTGTTTGATGTTTGAAATGGCAAAAAAATATCTATAAGAAGCATCCATAACACCAGTTGATCCGTTGGATATCTGGCAATGGAAAACTTGTTTTGTGGCATTGTCACATTCACATGAGAGCTATGGACGGTGGCTATCTGCAAAATAACTCATTAGTACATATCCCACTCACCAGATCTTGGAATTCAACATTAAATAATTAGGAGTGATAAATTAATAGATCCATGCATGTATTGCAACACACGAAGAAATTACAGGTAGTAAAAGGAAGAATGCTACACAGCTTCACAAAAGGAAGAGTAAGAAAAATCAACGATATGAAGGAAAGTTCTACCTTTTCTATTTCATGGCAGAGTTTGATATTTTCAGACCAACTTCAATTGAGAATGGACATGCCATGCTACGCGCCGAAGCCAACTATGTGCTGCTCAAATAGACAAATACTATCGAGTAATTGTGAAGCAACGTTTTGGAACTATTGGCTCGCTTATAGATATTGGCATACTGCCGGGATGAAAATGGAAATGATCAATAGCAGACTAGTTAGGCTATCGACGTACTGCCGGGATGAAAAATTGAAATGATCAATAGCGGACTGGATAAGTTATGTATGCAAAAGCATGCATATAACCATGTAGATGAATCAATATTAAATGGGGTGAAAAAAGAGCATGTCAATGGCACTATGACAGTGTTACAAATGTATTAAGTCACAGAGTATAAATTGACCATACTTTAATGGACAGCTTTGCAAGATAGGAAAATGGGTTGAAGATGAACAAAGTCGATTCCTTATAGTACATGAACCTAATGTAAAAATGATATTTCGATCTTCCATATAGAATCCATGGTTACGATTTGTTTCAATAATGTACCAAAATAGATGGTAAATCTGCAAGCTTCGACGGAATGTAGAAACTTGGCAGATATGATTTTGTTTTAATGATAAGTGGCGATGTATGTGTTAATTTTTTGTAGCAACTAGCCGCATGATAAGAAATAAAAAGAAATAATCATTATCTCATTATACATCAGAAATTATTCCTTGGAGACATGCAGAAGAGGAGCCAAGCATTTTTTAATTTGTGCATGATAAGTTGCATAGATAGTCATCCTACATACCAACATTGTATTGAAGTCAAGGAGCATCATTTGAACATGAAACTTGAGCGACAAATCAAGCAAACACTTACATCTGGACCTATAAAATGTGTACCTCACAAGCATGTGGAACGTATACCTGAATTAAATAGACAGTATTCATCTAAATTGCATACAAAATTAGAATAGAAAAATTAAGAGAACTAGTAACCTCATAGCATCGACTTGTTGGCAGGATTTACCTTACAAACGAAATTTGATGTCAGGACATGAATTTCTGAAACAAACAACTGCAAATGCTAGGTTTGCTCACCATGAAATCCTGAATGGAAAAGAGTACCAAAATCTGAACGAAAAAAAGCCTAGATGGACTCAGGATTTAGCTTGCCACCGTACCCTGACATCGAAGCTCACTCGTGTGCTCCGCCCACCATATAACAACCCGCAGCTGTGCCGAGGCGGGCCGGCGCTTGCTGATGTCATCCGTCGAACCGGCCGCAGGCTCCCAAAGCTTCAAAACCTTTGGGTAAAAGGAAAACAGTCTCAGAAATTGTCCTAGAAAAGAACAATTTAAAGATTCACGTACACCTAAACCATGCACTTGCATGAGCACACAACTAGTAAACACTCCTTAATCTAAATCGGGTTATTCATTTTTTGTAGATGGCTTAACAAACTCCAAAATAGAACACTCGCCTTGTCCTGTTCTTATGCAACTAACACAGTTAATGTTTGCTAATAGGAAAAATGGTTTGCTTTATACAAAATCTTTGATTTGTTGGAACTGCCGAAGACACTAGTTGTGAATTCCAATTAGGTAACTGCATAGTCCAGCTAGCTACGCCAGCAGCTATGCCTGATTGTATTATCTTTGAATCAAGCTAATTTCCTGGCGTACATGACAATCTCCTGAAGTGACTGATGCAACAAACCTTGATATAAGAAACCGAAGAGCAGCTGAACCCCAATCCTAACCCATCAGAACAATAGTGTTCTCGCCAGCGCACCATTGCCTCGTCTCCAAGTCCCTTGCATACATATTCTTCTACTCCTAGATTGCTTGGCAGAATTTCAATTCCTCGTTTGCATAATAAATTCATAAAACATAAAGTTAGCATCATCACACTAGTAGAAAAAGTGTCAAATGTGAAGCACATTAGTGTCGGTTTGAATTTGAGCCAGCACTAATGTGACCATTAGTGCCGGTTCCAACGGCTAGGCGGGCGGGCATCATTAGTACCGGTTCGTGGTTAACCTTTAGTACCAGTTCCAATGGCTAGGCGGCCGGGCATCATTAGTACCGGTTCGTGGGTAACCTTTAGTACCGGTTCATGCCACGAACCGGTACTAATGAGGCTGTGTCAGGCTATGGTCAGTCTGGGGCCCCCACGAAGACCTTTAGTACCGGTTCACATGAACCGGTACTAGAGTTTCTTTGTAAGCTGATTTTTATATAGTCCCACCTCGCCAAGAGAGAGGCAGTATGAGCGGTTTATAAGCCGTGAGTGCACAGACAATGACGAAGAGTTGCAATGCTCACCAACATGTTGATTAGCTTCAAGCCTTGCGGAATAGCATAGATTACACTGAGCTATGTGCAGTGCAGTCTACACTATTCCGAATGGATTGAAGCAAATTAACCAGCATTACACCTCTTTTTTATTTTTAATAACTTATTTGAACTCCGGACTTCTTTTGTGTTCAGTATGCAGCATTCAAAGCGACGTCATCAATTTCCAACATGTTCTGACATCATTTGTTGTTTTTCGATCATTTACCTAATTGTTTAGAGAGCTAAATGACTGTGAAATTAAAAATCACTACAAAATGAATCCTGGAAATGTTGAAACTTGGCATGGTATCATCATATCACCCGCATAGCATGCGCGAAAGAATAGAGAGGGTCACGGCAAAAACTGGACGCACTTCGTGTACAAATTGGACAAACTCTTTCAGAGTATCAGTGTTTCGGACAAGAACTCATCTGTTACATGGCCACTTCAATGTTTTTTTAAACTTATTTGAACTCCGGACTTCTTTTGTGTTTAGTATGCAGCATTCAAAGCGACATCATCAATTTCCAACATGTTCTGACATCATTTGTTGTTTTTCGGTCATTTACCTAATTGTTTAGAGAGCTAAATGACCGTGAAATTGAAAATCACTACAAAATGAATCCTGAAAATGTTGAAACTTGGCATGGTATCATCATATCACCCGCATAGCATGCGCGAAAGAGTAAAGAGGGTCATGGCAAAAACTGGACGCACTTCGTGTATAAACTAGACATACTCTTTCAGAGTATCGGGGTTTCGGACGAGAACTCATCTGTTACACGGCCACTTCAATGTTTTTTAAACTTATTTGAACTCCGGACTTCTTTTGTGTTCAGTATGCAGCATTCAAAGCGACGTCATCAATTTCCAACATGTTCTGACATCATTTGTTGTTTTTCGGTCATTTACCTAATTGTTCAGTATGCAGCATTCAATTTCCAGAAGAAAATAAATAGAGGAAAAGAAATAATGCAGAAAATAAAAAACTATACAAAAAATTACTCAAAAATAAATAGAAGAAAATAAATAATGCAGAAAAGAAAAAACTATATAAAAACTACTCAAAAATAAATAGAAGAAAATAAATAATGCAGAAAAGAAAAAACTATATAAAAAATTTGTTGGCGTGCTGTCCAGTGGGTCTGCCAGACCTAGGGTGTGCAAATGCAGGCCCAGAAGGGCCAGCAGGCTCACAGGGCAGCACGCCCTAATTAATTAGGCCCAGAAGCCTGCTATATAGAGAAGTTCGAAGAGATAGCCGCAACTGGGTTTATAAACCAGTGCGGCTGCCCTTCGTCCGACGAGGTGGGACTAAACTTTGGGGTGGCAGCGCGAGGCCTTTAGTACCGGTTGGTGGCTCCAACCGGTACTAAAGACCACCCTTTAGTACCGGTTGGAACCACCAACCGGTACTAAAGGCCTGCTTTTCCCGCCTCTTGGCCTGGCCAAAGTTGGCCTTTAGTACCGGTTGGTGGCTCCAACCGGTACTAAAGGCCTCTTCTATATATACAACACTTACGAAAATTCAGTTAGATCTCCCACTTCTTTCGTCTCCAACCTCTCGCGCGCCGCTCGAACCCGTCCTCGCCGTCCGTCGCCCGTCGTCCGTCGTCGTCGTCGCTGTCCCCGCCGCCACCCGTCGTCGTCGCCGTCTCGCGCCGCCGCCGCGAACGCCGCGCGCCGCCGTCCGTCGTCGTCCCGCCGCGGTCCCGTACGTCTCTCACTCTCGCGTATACCCGCCGCGCCGCCGTTCGTCGTCGTTGCACCTGGCCCGTATGGCGGCGCCCCCGCCTGTACGTACGCCGCCGCCCCCGCCCCGTACGCCGGCGCCCCCGCTCGTACGTACGATGCGGCAGCGTACGGGGCCGCACACATACACACATACACACACATGCATATATACGTACACACTACACACACACACACATACACACACACACACATATTTTTTTTACTTATTTTCTGTGTTTAGAAAAGTTAATTAGATGATCGAATGTTTGATTAATGTCGAATGTTAGATGAATTAGCTAGATAGAAAATTGTTGAACTAGAGATTTGAACTAGTTGAATAATTAATATAACTAGTTTATTTTTAGTAAAAAAATTATCGAACTAGTTTATTTAGGTATATGAGATTTGAACTAATTCAATAATTAATATAACTAGTTTATTTTTAGTAAGAAAATTGTCGAACTAGTTTATTTAGGTATATGAGATTTGAACTAGTTCAATAATTAATATAACTAGTTTATTTAGATATATGAGATTTGAACTAGTTCAATAATTAATATAACTAGTTTATTTTTAGTAAGAAAATTTAGGTATCTGAGATTTGATGATCTAATTAAAAAATTATTTGTTAATGAATTTTTTTGTTTATTTAATTTTTTATATATTTTGAGTTATATAAATGTTAGATTAATGTCGAATGTTAGATGAATTAGATAGAAAAGTTAAATATATAGTAATGTCAATTGTTAGAGATGAATATAGTTAGATATATTAATGTCAAATGTTAGATGAATATATATTTGGCTAGATATTAATTAATGTTAGATAGTAATAGGTGTTTAATGTTTCACCTATATGAACATAGGAAATGTCATCTGACGACGAAAAAGATTTCATTATGTGCGGACACTGTGAAGACCAGCGCGGCCTGTGCGACAGAAATTTTCTTGTTGATGGTAGGCGCTTCAGGATCAAGCTGGATGAGACATTCGAAGTTGATACAGTAAGTCACTTTGTCAATTATTATTTGAATGCAAAACTTATGCTTCATTTGCTTCAACTTATAATTTTAAATTTTCACTATTCTACTAGCGCATCCCCTGCCATGCAAAATTTTTTGTCTTGGATAAGATAGGTTTTAGTGCTATAGATGATATGGAGGTAAAGAGAGTTTACTTGAAGACGGAGCATGGGTATACTTTCAACGTCAAATTATATAATGGAGACACATACACCCATTTTGAATGCAAAACTTGGCAAGCACTATGCAAGGCTTATGCATTTGAGCCTGGTATGGTTGTCACCTTTGATATTCGTCTGGAAGATGATATTGAAGGTAATATAGACATCTGGGTCGATGTGCAAACGCCTCCAGTTCTACCATTATGTGAGTTTTTCTCAACCATGCATGTATATGTTTATGTCTTTGATACAGTTTATTCAAAAATAGTTGACAACTAATTTGTATTGTCAGCTTATTTCGGTTCAATCAAACATGTCCGGCGCTTGGTAGACAGGACCTACTACTGCCCCGGGGCTCAACTAAACTGCGAGGAGATAAGTCATTATGTTTCATGGCTTGAGGATCTTAATACTGTCAAGACAAAAAAAAATCCTGAACTTAGAAATGTTAGTACTCAAAACGTGTGACCAATGGTGATCGTATTGAACTATGGTCACATCTATAATCGAAAGATGGTAAGATTTTAACTATTTGTCCTTAATTAGTGCATCTTTTGCATACATTATTTTTGAAGCTAATCTTTCATTGCTTAGTATATTAATTACTATACGATGTTCTTCAATAGGGACTTCCGATGGCAGTTGTGCCTTAGTGGATCGAGACTAAAGGTGACATGTCAATGGTTAGCTTACGGCCAAGATATCCTACATTGCACATGAGTGCATTCAGGATTTCTGAAAGCGAAGAATGCTTAATAGTGAAAGATTGGAGCAAAATTGTTAACGATCGCAGAGAAGTACTATGGGGCAGCAAGGAGAAGTGCAACCCAAGATTAGGAGACAGATTCATCTGCATGCTCCAGTATGATGAATCAGGAGAGCTATACATGTTCTATGCTATTCTACCTGAGAGGGAGCAGCACTAGTTCATGCTCTTAATTATAGTGTCTCATGTCCGTGTCCTGAACTTCGATGTTGGTGATGATTATGTTGAACTCGATGATATCTTTGCTTCTGTTACAAAGTGAATGTTTCCTCTTTAAGCTAGCCAGTGTTGGTGATGATTAGATAGCTAGCGGTAATGACTATGATGATTAAATAGTGGTAATTAGACGACTACGATGATTTTTAGCTAGCT